ATCAACACGTTTGAATACCTCATATTCCCCTCATTTTTTCTTATGATTCATCGAGATGTCACAAGGTATTAAAAAGCAATAATTTTGTTGAGCTCTGGAGGTCACCGCTCATGAAAATGTAACACGGGGCATCTGAATCCTGTCAAAAACCATCCTGCCGTGACAGATTAACACATAAAAAAAACCGCCTTGCGTCACTATACAAAGTACCATCGGAAAACATCAAACGATAGCTGAATTTAAAAATGCATATATCACAGATGACAGGATATGACGGAAAGAAAATTTTGCAAGAATACAAATGGATGAGATACGTTACGTTGATTTTGATGTAATTTGGCTGTTTTTCTGAGCTTGTTTTTTGAGTAAAAAAGGAGAAAAATATGTTTTAAAATTTAAATTACTGTGAGAAACTACTGAGTGGTTGTTAGGACTGTCATCACTCCTCCTGCTCAGCACTTTATTAGAAGGTTCCACTCTTGGAAAGAAATTGGCAAGAACAGCGTGAATCCAAAGACACAACTGGCTTTGTGTCAGCAGTTTGCACTCTTCCTGGTGTTGCTGTGAAGGTGTGAGGAAAGTTTTCTTGGCAGAATTTGTGCCCTTAACACCAGTGATTTGAATACCACAATGTGAATGTCACTGCTGATTATACACAGCATTATTATGCTGGCTTGCTTATCCTTTTCAGGGTCGTGGGGGTCGCTGGAGCCTATCCCAGCTGTCATAGGGCAAGAGGCAGGGTACACCCTGGACAGGTCGCCAGTCTGTCGCAGGGCTAACACACAGGGACAGACAACCATTCGCACTCACATTCACTCCTGCATTCACACCTATGAGCAATTTGGATTAATCAATTAACCTATTCCCACTATGGAAAAATCCAGTTTGGCTAAAATAACAGGCTTCTCTAGTCACCCAGACAGTTCTCACTCCCAAGATGTATGCTGAGATTTTGTCAAAGCCACGGGCATAAAGATATGTATAACATCAGGTGTTGTAAACGCTTGTATCCATCCAAAAAGTGGTTAACAAATCATTTTAAACCCTCGTCCCAACTGACATTTGTTAAACAAAAAAAACCCAAAACATTTCCACCACACCCCCTAGTGTGCTCTTAATCCCTTAATTAATGGGAGGGTCCAAAAGTTACCAAACTAACCACTTTTCCAAAACTTTCCCAAAAGTAAAATTAATTACAGACTGACAAAGCAAACTATGATATTCTTATTGTATTAAAGAAAAATCAAAAATGGATACAAATTATGTTTCATAAAAATTCAACAAAAATGGCCACAACACTGTCCTAGGGTAAGAGACCAGGCGCATACTTACAAGTCACTAGTGGCTGGGCTAATGCAGAGTGATGGACAACCACTTACACCCACATGTACACGTACAGCCAAATTAGACCAGAGCCATACTGATATATCAGTCATATGTGTCAATATTTATACCAGCTGATGAATGAAACTTCAAAAAGTAAAGCGGAGGGAGCAGAAGCACCCTTCACGCATGTTTTGAGTTTTGACACTGCATAGTTTGTCCACTAGAGGGCACTTTGCTCAGATGGGCTGGTTGTTGCAGGGCGTAAAAGACTAATTCATAACTTGCTGTGAGAATTATAAACAAGATTCATTGTCATCAGTTTTGTGAGGATGAGTAAATAACTATACATAACAAATGTTTGGGAAATATGTTTTGTGTGTCTGAAAGCAAATAAATATAAAAAAATACTCGTTATTGTCTAGTATCAGTCTAAAAACTCCCACATTGGTCAGGCTCTAATTTAGAATCCCCATAAACCTAACAAGCATGTCGTAGTACTCTAGGAGAAGGCTGGAGCGCTTGGGGAAACTTCTACAGGAAACTCTACACAGAAAGACACCCCTCCCACCCCCCGACCAGTTCGCAGATCTGAACCAAGTGCTGAGGCAAGAGTACTGATCACCGCATCACTTATGTTTTTCCCTTACTCAGTAAGGCAGGAAGATGAGTCCCAGGTGGACTCTTGCTTTAGATGTCAAATGCCTAGCATCCACCTGACATGACCTCCTCAGGAGAGGTTGTCAGGAGAGAAGTCTGACTGGAATGGTACACCTGTCAATCTACAATTCAGGTGTCCTAAGATGAACTCAGAAAGGACACGAACCTCCCCTGAAGAACAAGAAGGGCAAAAACTTGCTTGCTCTTGATTTCCAGTATGAATATGAATGAATGAATATGAATGCAGTGGATAAATCTGCAGAAATTATGCGATGCAATCATGTCTACATGGGGCAGAAGCTCAAAGGAATCTTTCTAATGACTTGTAGAGGTAAAAAAGAAAAAAGAAAGTCGATTTTACCCAGTATCATTGTTTAGATGAACTTTTGACAACTGTGATAAGGTTTTAAGGTTTACTGACAAAACAGGAGAAACCATAAAAACCATCGTTTTTTTCTCACTGTAATAAAAATAATGTGCTGATCTGATTTGTTTGCAGTCATTAAATTAATCTGCTAATGACTGCTTTAAAGATTTATCTACAGTGAAATTGCTAAAAAAGCACCTTGAAGTTTGATCTGCTGTCATTTAGGAACAGCAGTAACATCAACTAGATTTTCCATCGTCCGTAAATGTCACTGATGTGTATCACAACTGAACAGGGGGGCGAGGTGGGGGTGTTTTATGACTTTGACACTGTTAGAGTAATGTCAGATCTGTCTTTGTCTGCGCTGCGTCTTCATGTGTGTTCTAGCTGAATATGTAAAGAAAGAGACAGCAGAGGGTGAGAGGACGTCTGCTTGCTTTCTCCACAAGTGTAAATCCTATGTTTCTTTAGTCACTGGATTTTTGCATAGAAACCTTTTGATACTCTGACAATTGAATGTTGTCTTTTTTTTCCCAAGCAGCATATTAATGGACAGAGCATCAGTCCTTACTGTTTGCAAGCATACATCACTGTAAATCACTGCATTTCACCTGCTTTGGTACTAACGAAAGTGAAAACGGGTGCACTGGAGAGGCAACAAACAGGCGACTCCCAAAAAGTGATTTTTCTAAAAAACAGCACAACAGAGAGGCCTCCCAGTGGCGTCCGCTCTGTTCACAAATAAAAGCAAAAATGAGGTGTAAGAACATTTTGTCCAATTTAAATACAGCACTGTTTTGTTCTCTAACAGATCATTATGAGCCTTTGGTAGGGACAGTGGCTGATATTCAGATTATTAACAAGAAAATATTTAACTTTTATTGTTGCCTCTGGTTGAGAAGTTTATGGATTTAATTGGAGTCAGAGCTGATACAAATGGCTTCTGGCAACGCTCGGTTAAATCAGCAAATCCACTGAACAATCAGCTGCTATGTAATATTTTTTTTTGTTTAGCTGAAAAAAATATCAAGGAGAGATAAAAAGATAATAGATTATTTTGCCTTGAAGATGGAGCGAGTGATGTTTTGCTCATATAAAGCCACAATTCTAAAGCCTGCATATGGCAGTTCAAAGATGAGTTTCCTTGAATGTCAGTGGAAGATGCAAACAAAGATGACGCTGCCTTGACGGTCGGCATGTAGAACGCAAAACTGAGAAAATGCATGTCCTTGAGAACTGTGCAACAAAAAAACAAAAACAAAATGACAATTGAGTGCACTCCTAGAAAAGTTGCAAAGAAGCATTAACAGTGCAGTAAACCTCAAACAACCAGCAGTGAGCAACTGCAATATGAAGTTGAACCAGTCTTAATAACTACACCCAGTCAGCCATCAAGACAGGCTGAACTCTCTCTATTTTAAGCATTCTTTAAGCTATCTCAATACAAAACATCCACCCTCCATCTGTCATTCATATTTTAGGAAAACCTATAAATTTACCAATAACCTCAGAATAAAAGCGGTATGATCTTTGGAGAAGGTCAGAAGGATGTAGTGTCCTTTACATGCCTTTTATTATGTTTGCACTGTGTTATCATTGATTTTTAAAGTTGTCCCTGTCAAACAAAGCACCTCTCTGTTCTTGTTCTCATGCTGCGTAGTGCTCATGCATTGAAAATGTCTGCAAATCCTCAGATTGTGGTAGTATATGTGCATTGTTAAGTGAATGCAAGTCAGCTGGTTGGAGTTTGAGGGTGCAGCTGTCTCTGGAACCGGCTGGCCATTAGTGATAATGTTTTCCCCTACTACTCACCAACGTTGCTTCTGGAATGACCTAAGAGAAGCTCCTCAGGGACATTGTGAGTGGAGTTAATTACACCATCAAGTATTATATCAGATTAAACTTGCAAACCATGTGACAGACTAGAAGAAGACTCAATCTCACTGTTTAAAAAGGTTCTTACTCAATTTATTACCCTCTAAATGTTAAATGTATACATCTCTTTTATTCTGTGTAAATGACATTAAGCCAGTGCTGTGAGAAAGTTTTTGCCCCTTTCTTGGTTTTGAAAACACCTAAATTTTATGGTTCCAGCTTTTAAATGTAATGTAATGTAAATGAACTCTGCCTTTCAGTAATTTTGATAAATCTAGAAATTTGCGCTGTTGGTTGAACCAAGCAAACATTGAAAAGGTGTCATTTTGAGCTTAGAGTAGACTCAGTTAAACCATTTGTGCCATCAATCAGAGCTGTGAAATCACAATTTAGTTTAGATATAGCTTCCAGGTGTGAAAAGAGTCTCTGTAAAAGGGTCAAATGTTTAACTTTTCATTTTGTCACAGAAAAACTGCTTTCGGTTTGGTTTAATTATAGGTAGGAAGGAAGGGCCACACAACATCCATTTGGGTAGTTACCCGCGTTTATGTCTGCATAAATTAGGTACCATAAACTGTATGCTTATATCTCCAACACTAACTAATCCAAACAAGATGTAGACAACCTTAAATGAATTATGATGGATCTACAGTTATAAAAGAGATGCTGCCTTTTCTACTGTAAGCATGTTTTAGAATAAAACTGAAGAGATGTTGAGAGAGAGTGATGTTTGCAAAAAAGTCATTAAGACAAATAAAGAGCACTAACCCACCTGTTTGTTCATGAATATGTAGATAAAGGGATTGATGACAGTGGACAATTTGGCCAGCAGTGACGGCATGATGGTCGCCTCTGGTGTCAAAAGATCATGCGGGCCGAAGGTTGCAAGCAGAGCTGCCACACCATAGGGCAGCCAGCAGACCAGGTAGCATACCACCATTGTGACAACCATCACCAGCACCCGCTGTTCTCTGCGACGGGTCACCACTGAACTCACGCTGCGGACCTGACAAAGAGGAAAAGACACTTTACTGATCTACTGTCATGATACCAAAAAAAAAAAATACAGACAAAAAAACAGTGGTGCTGCAATTTCAGCAGCTTGTAGACTTTTCTCCCCCAACAGTGGCATTAATCTCTGCTTTATTATTCCCTATGTCTGTGCCTCCCTGACCAGTTATAAAGCTGCCATACCTCCCCTCCAAAAGCACAACTCAGAGCTGACTTGTGTAAAAACACACCTTAAACCAGAATGCAAACATTAGTTTTCAAAAACCAAAACACCTGATGCACAATAACCTAAGACCATAAATGCAGGCAGCAGCACAATGAACATCAAATAATTCAATCAATTGGCGGGACCCACAGAGGCCTAGAGCAGTAAAAGCAATATTCTTTTAGCAACAACAGAGACTAATCTGTATGGTTTAATACGCTGGAAATCATAAATAAATAATTTCTATCATACATAAAAGAAGATGAGATTTTACTCAGGTAAGGAAAGAAAAAGGAGAAAACATCATAAAAAGTTACTTTTGTCTTTTTTCCCCATTTAATTTTCATCAAACTGAATTTTCAAGGTGGGTTTACAAACTCGCAAGAAAAGAAAGAAGACGTCCTCAGACTGAGAGTGCTTGGAGATCAGTAAGAATTGTATTTAATCTAATGAATAATTAAGTGTTCATATTCTTCTCAGTAGCTAGATTTATACTTATTTTGTTGATGAAACCTTTAAAAAAAAAAAACCACAGGTATGGCTTTCTTGTGTTAGTGAGTTTATGACGTTATCAGTTAATGCCGGTGAACGCTTTAGTCACTGGGATTAAATCAGAACTGAAGCATTGTCTGTGCTGTTAAATGTTAAATGGACAAACATTAAATACTGGTCTCTTGTGGCATGTAATTAATTTAAACATGGACGTCATCCAAGATGTCAACTATTTCCAGGTTTAAACCTGCACTTGGCACGCACTGGTTTGTATTACAGACAACAAACATGCACTTGTGTTTAGGCACTTGTGCTTGTTTCCATTATGTGTCAACTGTTGAAATTTCAAGTAAAAAAATGAACATTTGGAGAACAAAATCACGTCTTCCACATTACTCTCAGCAAACTGTAGCCTCTCAATCCATGTGACAGCTGCTGTGTCAGCTGGACGTGGAGGATGTTTGAAGATTATTTCAAGCCTTTACCCCCTGAAGCACATTTTTAAGGCAGAGTGTGCTAGAAAAACTAAGATATGTTTGGACATCTGACAGCATCAGGTCAGACATAGCGCACAAAGTGTCACACGATCAAGGACATGTTCCATCACATTGCTGGGTTGACGGTTGGAGTTTGCATACAAGCAGAATGTGTGAGCATCTCTAGCTTTTCTTTGGAAATGATGAATCTGAACTAAGTTATAGATGTTAAGTAGAATGATAAGTAAAACATGGGCGTCAAAGGCTCCTGTACACAGCAGTGGACAGAAGCTCAAGACTTTCCCTGATGAGTTTCTGCAGGAATCAAAATCTCATCAGTACTAAGCTGAACCAACATTTGCCATATTTCATGCCTGAGAGATTTAAGGGCATGTCCTACAGACCTCATCTGGTTGAAAGAAGAGTACATCTGGATCTTCTCTGTAAATAAATATTGTCTAATGTTATGAATATAAATGATTTTTAGTTAGTTAGTTTGAACTAGTCTCAAAGTAAAACGTGTTTGTACTGTGGCACAAAGGGCAAAATTGCAATTCAGCCCTTCTGGTCATTTGTCCCAGACAAAAGCAATTCAACAAGCAGTCTATGCATCCGTAATTCCTGAATGGAAGGAAAGTCCAGACCTTACTGTCCAATATACTGAAGGAGCTGAAGGATGAATGAGATTAAATATGTACAGTTGTATGCAGAGCAGAAGGTTCAGTGTGCATCCTGAATCTTAAGTCTGCAACTCTTCACAAGGAGGAGATGAAAAGTTCTTGCCAGCCCATAAAACTGCAACTCTAGGCAGCACAATGTTCTCATCATTTCCTAATCAAATAGATCAGTTTTTATGGACATCAACTTCATTTTTATAAAATCACCTAAGAGATGACAGCACGGGGATAGAAAAAAGTATTATTAAGCAAGCTTTGCGTAAACCAGAGGGACAGATGCAGAAAGGAGTGGAGTAGTAGGAGTGTGAATGGGTGAATGACTGAATGTAGTGTGAAGCGCTTTGGGGTCCTTAGGGACTAGAAAAGCGCTATACAAATGCAGGCCATTTACCATTTACCATAGTCAGATTACCAGATAAATAAAACTGTCTAGAGGCAAAATGTACAGCTCTGTGAAAAAGCATTCTTCTTAGTTTTTATATTTCAGATAATCAAACAAAATTTAATATTAGACAAAGATAACCTGGGTAAATCCAAAATAAAGTTTTAAAATGATGATTTCATTTATTAAGGGGGAAAAAAGCCATCCAAACCTACCTGGTGCTGTGTGGAAAAGTAATTGCCCCTTAACCCTAATGACTGGCTCTGCTACCCTTGGCAACAAGAACTGCAATCAAGGAATTTGGATTAACTGACAATGGGTTTTTTGACTAATGTACCCCAAAACTTTCATTTTGTTTTTTTGTCCTGCTGCCGAACCCAAGCACCATCGAGCCTCAGGACATAAACCAGACATTATCCAGCCCCAGACTATCACACTACCACCACCATGTTTGGTATGATTTTCTTTTTATGAAATGCTGTTAGTTAGATTTTTTTGGAAGGCTTAATTTCTGTAACAGATTAGACTTTTTCTCATCAGTCCACAGGATATTTTCTGTGAGTCTTTCTGTTCGTCTTGGTTAACGGTGGCTTTCACCTTGGATCTCTTTCTTATTGTTGAATCATGAACTCTGACCTTAACCAAGGCAGCTAATGCCTGCAGTTCTGTAGATGTTATTCTGTTGCTCATTTAACTGCATTTTGCATTTACTCGGGTCACCATTGTCTAACATCAAACTTTGTTTGATGATGTGAAACATTTAAAAGTGAGAAATACTCAGTGCTATTGAATATTCTGACCCCACATTTAGTCCTATTTTGGTAATATAAATTATTACAAAAATTCCAACTTAAAGGGGTCAACTTCAAGGGGAGGTATTAGATTTAAATTATTTGCTCTAATTGCATTGGTGGATGCTTAAATTAAACATAGATTAAAGATGGTTTAAACAGGTTTAAGCAGAGATGGATAAACTCGCAAAAAATAAGATCAGCCAAAAGCTTAGGCTTTGTGTTCTGACCTAAATGCTTTAATTTAATAGTTTAATTCTTAAAACATTAACTCAATTTTTTGCTAAAGAATTGGAGACAAATAAATGAATTGAATTGAAATAGTGTGCAGACTTGTTCCCCCTTTTAGAAAGACAAAAATATATTAAATGGTGCAGCCACCATTTAAAGTGTATGACTATTAAATTTTATCAACATTAAAAAATTATTTCGCATCACATCAAACTTTGGCAACTGTTTAATACATCTCATAAGCTGAGGGTTACATTAAGAAAGCTCCTTTTAAAGTCCTAATGGTAGTTATACAGAATCTCCTCGAAAAGACAACCCACGGTGAAATTTCCTGTCTGTTTCACCAGTTCCAAAGTATTAAATTTAACCATATTAGTAAGACTGTTACACATAAAGCAAGCCAATGGTTTGAACTTCCTTTCATTTTCAGTCTAAGAGTGGTGAGGTTACTCGAGGCTGTCACTCTGTTTAAAGTCATCAAGGTTGCAAAGAAGGTCTAAAAGGTCAGGGACAAGGGCACAGAGTTCCACAGGAGGCAACAGTAATGTTGCTTTTTCCACTCACTGGGGAGAAAACTGTCGCATCCCATGTCAATTACAGTTTTGCAGACTGAGTCTGAGTTGCTCACCTTAACAGTGAATGACTTGCAAAACAGCTCTACCTGCTCTATCTGCAAAGCTTCTGCTGAGGTGTTTTTCAATGCTGCTACCAAACCGCTCCTATAACCTGCTATTACTGGAGGGATCTTCTCTTTTGGTCATTTGTTTACATTCAGTGCCAGTACGTACACTCTACTCTTTCATCGCTATGTTTGTCATTTTGGCTTATTTTAAAGCCTCCTTTCTACTTTCTTTTTCAGTCGTGACTGGTAATCATGGGTACCTACTACTCTTTTTCTTGTCTCTTCATTCTGAATAAGAGAAAAAACTGGAATCCAATAGCTTTATTTGCACTCAATAGCCAATTCTTGCCTTCTGCTGGAGGCCTCTCTATCGGTTGTGTTAAATGAAGAGAAACAAACATATCTTTCATTTCGTTTTCTCCTTTCTTTCTCAGCTACTCCCATCTCTCTCACTGACACAGCCACATAGACATCTCCAGCTAGTCTGTGGAGATGCATTTCATCGCCTTCCTCTCGTCAGTCATGTGTCACATTGTGCTTTTTGTTTTTGTTTGATTTGAGGTGCAATATAACTTTATTCTCATAGAATGTCAATCAAAATTTGATCCAAGATGATCGTCATGGGGGTTTTTTTCAAGCTAAAATAATTGTGCTTGCCTTTGCATGTTTGCAGACTGAGATTCGGAGTCATTTTTAGTAGTAGCACCTGTAGTATCAGTTTATAAACCTGTGCATCAGCAATCAACCAAAAGTAACCTAATAATAGAATATAATCTATATAGGCAGAAAACAACAAGTACATTTAAAACAATATATTGATATATATCATTATGATAATTAATGCATAAAGATTTGATGACAAGTCTTTGTGGTACTTCACACACAAAAGCTCCGTCAGCTGAAAATTATACACCAGGTTCTTGCAGTACACGTATTCTTAAAGAAGCTTTAAGGCTAAGAAACAGAAACATTTTAATAAATATGTTTGAAATCTCTGACGGGCCCCATCAATAAAACAGATACTTTGCTGACTTTGTTTTTCTGCCAGTGAATGGGAGTAGTGCATTTCAGTAGATTCTCTTTTTTTTTTTCAAGGTTTAACATATCAGCTGTCAGTGT